TTTTTTTTTTTTGTCTCTGTTTTTCAGGTTGGATAATTTCTATTGTGCTGTGTTCCAGTTCACAGATTCTTTCCTGTCCCATCCACTCTGCTTTTGCATACATCTGTCAAGTTCTTCGTTGTTTTTCAGTTCTAAAACTTCCATTCAGTTCTTCCTTATCTATATCCTCTATTTCTTTGCTAATAATTTGTTTTAATGTTTGTTTGAAGAACTTTCCCAGTTGCTTTTTTGAGCATTTTTTTTATAATATAGTAGTTTATTTTTACATCATTTTGTGCCTTTTTCCATCTCAGTTGTAATTCCTGTGGACTTCCTATCACCAAATCACCCATGTGCCATCACCAGAGTTTGAGCATTTTTTTAAAGATTTATTTATTTATGCATACAGAACTGGGGTATAGACCAGAGATGCAGGGGGTGGTGAGAGCATTCACCAGAGACAGTGAAGAGCAGAACAGGCTGACTGACAAAGTACACTGCTGAGAGGAGCAATGACTGAGACAGGAGAGGTCTGCCGCGCCATGTGGGTCAGCTCCCTGGTCAGGGATCGAATCATGCTGAAGTGGCTGTGGCCAGGTTCATAGTGCTGTGCTTTAACCTGTTGCACCACCAGGGAGGGCCCTTTTTTGAACATTTTTATTACAATATCTTTAAGGTCTTTCTTTTATAATCGAACATTTGTGTTCTCTTGTTATTAATCTATTGATTGTCTCTTCCAGTATAAGTGTGACTTTCATGGTTCTTTGTATGCCAAGTAATTTTGATTGAATGCTGAATATTTTTAACATTATGTTATGGGACTCTATGTTTTATATGATATCCCATGGGAGATGTTAAGTTTTGTTTTTGGCAGGGAACTGATCTGCTTAGGCTAAGGTCACAAATTCCAGCCTGCCTTCTGTGGGCTTTGGTTACAGTAAACAACTCAGCTTTCAAAGCCTTTGTAGTAATAACCAGATCTATCTCTTGGGAGTATCTCCAGCAGTCATACTGCCCAGTTCCTCATTGGATTCAAAGCTTTCTGTTCTCCTAGCCTCTGTAGATGCCATCAACAGGATCTTTTTTACTTATAATACATAAAACAGACAAAATCAAGTAAATGTGTATTCCTAGCCCCACTTCTGACAGGGCTAACAATATCACTGGATCCATTCTTTGACTCCAAAAATGAAGACTGGTGGGGAGCACTTTCTATCTCTAATTCAGTGAGGTCAGCAATACCGTAATATCAAAATCAAAAACACATGGAATTCCTAAAAAGAAGACTCTAAATCAGTAGCTCTCATGAATGCAGGTGTGAAGATCCTCAATGAAATATTAGCAAACCAAATCCAGCAGCATACAAAAAGAAATATTTCTGGGCCCTCCCTGTGGTGCAACAGGTTAGGATGCTGCCCTGCAAGCTAGCCACAGCGGCTTCAGTGTGAGTCTGATCCCCAGCCCCAGAGGTGACCCACATGGCGCAGCAGACCTTTCCTGTCTTGTCCACTGCAGTGTAAATCTGCCTGTTCTGCTCCCCACTCTTGATTCTGGTGAGTCCTCTCACCACCCCTGCACCTCTGGTTTGTACCCCATTTCTGTAAGCATAAAAACAAAATCTTAAAAAAGAAATTATTTCCAAAAACCAACCTTGTACCAGTAATGCAAGGTTGGTTCAACAAAGGAAAATTAGTCAATGTAATTACCCTATTAATAGAATAAAAGAAGAGAAAAAAAACAATCACCTCAATGGATGCAGAAAAGGCATTTGACAGAATTCAGCATTCTTTCATGATAAAAACACTCAACGGACTAGGAATAGAAGGGAACTTCCTTACTTAATAAAAGGCATCTCACCCACAACTAATATATATAATGGTATATCAGAAACACAGGTATGCCTGGTCTTATTACTTTTATTCTACATTGTACTACAGGAACTACTTAGAATGTTTAGTTAAGAAAAAGCAATAAGGGCCTACCTGGTGACGCCAGAGGTTAAGTCTCAGCACTATGAAGCTATTCACAGCCACTGCAGCAGGAGTTCGATCCCAGCCAGGGAGATGACCCACATGGCACAGGAGATCTAAATATATGGATACTCCATGCTCATGCTAGAAGACATACTGTTAAGATGGCAGTATTCCTCACAATATTTACAAAATCAAGATAGTCTATCAAATCACAAAAGCCTTTTTTGTTTTTTATAGAAACAAGCAGATCCTAAGATACATAATTACCCAGGATAGTCAAGGGATGCAGTGTAAAGGGGGCAAAAACAGAATTGGAGGACTCTTCAACTTCAAAACTTACATACGCAATAGTATTTGTGACAGTGTGATAGTGGCAGAGAGATTGACTTCCATCAATGTAATAAAATGGAGAGTTCAGCGATAAAGTCATACATTTATAGTCTATTGATTTTCAACAAAGGTCCCAATATGATTAAGTGGGAAAAGAATAGTTTATTGTGAATGGTGCTGTGGTAACTGGGTAGCCACAGGCAAAGAATTAAGTTGGACCCTTATGTTATGCCATATACAAAATTTAACTTAAAAAAGACAAAAACAAAAACCTAAATCTAACAGTTCATATTACAGAAATATGAAACGGCACAGCCACTTTATTAAACAGTTTAGGGGTTGCTCAAAAAGTTGAACATAGAGTTATGACGTGGCAAATCTCCTAGTTATGTATCCAAAAGAACTAAAAATGGACTCAAATACTTGTGCACCTGTTATTCACAATAGTCAAAAGGTAGAAACAACCCAAGTGTCCGTCAACAGATAGGATAAATGAAATGTGGTATGTCCATATAACAATTAGCAGTTAGAAATGAATCAAGTGCTGATTCATGCTACAGCAGAGGTGAACCTTAAAGGCGTCACATGTGCTAAGTGAAAGAAGACAGGTACAAAAGACCACATTTTATGTAATAACACCTCATGATTATCACCCATTCCGAAAATGACTAGAATAAACTATCCTACAATGCAAAAAAATGACTAGTGGACTCCAGAGACTAGGAGGAGGTGAAATGAGGAGTGCGGCTGCTTATGGATATGAGCTTTTGGGGGCTGTGTGATGATGCCGTTGTGAAGTTAGGTAATGATGATGGTTACACGACTCTATACACATGAAAATCTGAATTATAAGGGGAATATTCTAGTATATGAATTACATATCCATGTTTTTTAAAGGGGCAGAAATGAAAAAACTGTCATTGAAGTACTGAAAAGTAAAACTCATTTGCAAAATAAAAATCTCTTAATTTGTAAAATTAGTTTTATCCATCAGGGCACTTCTGAGAAGTCAAATCTGAAACTTTTCAGTTGCCCTGGATGTTTGGTAGCCTGTAGCTCTTAACATGTCAGAATGTATCTTACCGTCTACAGTTTTAAAATTTGAGAACATAATCGCACATCATAACTTAACAGTAACTGTTTTGAAAGGGCTTAGAATCTCATTTTTAATCCTGAAAAGCAAGCACATGAGAGTGACATGTCCAACTTCCTGCCCTTTGGGAGCATCAGCCCTGAATTCCCCGTGGACAGAGCCAGCGGCCTGACCCTGTTTCCGGAGGAGGCTGTGTGATCTACTCAGTCTGGCAGGTAGCAGCGTCATTCCTCCTGCAGTTAGTGCCAAGATGCGCACCCTGAGATCGGAACTGTTAGTATCTTATCTTTACTCACAGCAACTTCTCAGCCTGCCTCCAGAGAACAAAAATAAGCTTGAAAATAGTGCTGCCATCACAAGTCAAACATGAGTAAAAACACGTATTGTTGGTAGACTTACCGTCCCCTCAGCCCTGCCCTCCAGGCTTACAGCCCTCTGAGAGGGATGGGCACACCGTGTCCTCACCTGGAAATGAAGGAAAAGAGCTTCATAGGCAGCACCTAAAAGGTCATACAGCTTGTGGGCGACGGAGCCAACAACTGCCGTCCGTCTGCCCTCTTCCCTGTTCTCCTGCTGTCGCAGCATAAGGCCAATCTGTTAAGACAGTGCCCATCTTCTCCTCTTTGAAGATCCTAAGAACTCCCTGGAGAAGGATATTGGAAGACCAACATTCATAGCACTTGCCTCAGGGCATCAAGGACATTCACTGGGCATTAGGTCCCACTCAACATGCCACATAAGCTGAGTAGATAGATGACTTACTGTAGGGGATGAAACTGGTACCAGGAAGGCTGGTCAGCACTCTGGGCAAGAATGCTCATGAGTGGGGCCAGAATTCCTGGGGCTAGCAGAGGAGCAAGCAGGGGTAGTGCAGCCTTGGGCAGGAGACAGAAATTAGAAGTAGGACAGCAGCACGTAGGTGCGACAGTCCTGGGTCCCCAGCCACATGCACTCATCGGCTAAATGGCCGATAGTTACTATTCTGTTTGCTCATCCGCAAAATGGATAAACACAATGCTGCCTGGTGCCCATGGGCACTAAATGCCTCAAAAGTTAGAACTCAGCCTCTGGGCATGAGGGAGAAGGCCTATTTTCAAGCAGTAGACTTCCACTAGACAGCCAAGCCACCTGTCAAAGAGGAATCTGGGAAATTCTCCTAAGTTTAAGTTCCGTGACTCTTGAATGACTCTATGACAAGGACTGGCACTGACAGGATAGTGCCATAGTGAGAGACCCCAGGGACTATAAGAAAGTATGTCACAGGGCTCTGCCCTGGTGGTTGTCTCCACATTATGCAGAACCTGAGAACCCTGGGACCTGCTCCAGGCTGTGCACAGCTCCCTCAGGGGCAGAGTCAGCCCCTCCACATTGCACAGAAAGATGACATTATTATGTCAGCCATAGTCAGAACAAGCCAAAGACAGACTGCCGATACTGTCTCTCTTCGCCTGTCTGCCCTGCCTCTTGAGACATGTGACAGAAAGAGCAGGAAGCTGGCTCTTCTTTAGAAGAACCTACCCACACATGCCTGTTTCTTTCACTTAACTGGCTATGGGACCTTGTATGCCCTTCAGATGACGGGGCCGCCAGGGCTTCTGCACTTTACCTTGTGGCCTGTGAGTACTTAGTAGACACTTACCTCACCTGTGACATTATCTTTCAGCTCTGTGCTGTGTGTCTAGAAGACTTCAAGCCTCGAGATGAGTTGGGGATTTGTCCATGTAAGCATGCCTTCCATAGAAAGTAAGTATTGATTGGTGTGGATTCAAAGGGACCGGAGTTTGAGACATGTCCAGCTTACCTATGGGCTCCGGGGCATGGCCAGACAAGTTGCTGACCTCAGGATTGGTCTGTAAAACGTACACACACCCCCACCTGCTGGGTGGGGTGTGTGTACGTGACATCTGGCAGTATCAAGGTGGTGGAACATGACCACCACAGCAGGACTGCAGGCAGAGGGCCAGACAAGCCCACACCTCCTTAAGTCCAGCTGTAAACAGCTACTCAACTGGAATTTTCCAGTAAGAGCTCCATTACTTGAAATCAAAATAAAGTCTAAACATAAATGGCAGTGTAGGGCTGTCCGTTCCCCCTTCCCGCAGAGATATTAATATTCCCTTCTCTTGCTATTCTGTGCTTTAACATTAGAAAACTGTGCTGCTTCCTTCGTCCTGCTCATTGTACTTTTGAGAAATCACGGTTAGCTGAGGGTAAGGCATGCTGATTATGGCTTCTTGGTACCTTCTTTGGAAAGGCAGAGGCTCTGGTTCCTCCTTGGAGCCCAGCTTTTCTCTCCCTTTCTCTCTCTCTCACACACACTAACATCAGAGGTGTTCATCTGGCAGGGCAGCAGCAAGGTGTGGGCAGGGGTGTCAGAAGCATGGGGCTGACATCCTGCCTCCCTGCTGTGTGTCTCCTTCTGCAGGTGCCTTATTAAGTGGCTGGAGGTCCGGAAAGTGTGTCCACTGTGCAACATGCCAGTTCTGCAGCTGGCCCAGCTGCATAGTAAGCAGGACCGTGGACCCCCACAGGGGCCCCTCCCTGGGGCAGAGAACATTGTATAGTTCATCAAAAGTCGAACTGTTGCGGTCCGACATCCGCGTGGAGCCAGAAGCAGCACGAGCGGTCTCTGCGTTGGCTGTTCTACCTGGGGCACCAGCTGCCACTTCCTTTGCCTCATGAAGAACTCTTGGGCCAACTGAGCTTGGAACCCAGACATCTGGGTCTAGTGACAACCAAAGCACTCTGACACTCTCCACACCAAGGAGAGGAGTTAGTGAGCCCGGGGGTTTGGTTCAAGAAACTTTATGAGGTCTCTCGCTAACTTCATTAGACTCTGTCTCCCAGACACTTTTCTCCATGGTAAGGTGAATCCTTACCAAGCAGAAGGGAAGATAAACACAAGTGTCAGAGAAGGGAATTTAAGGGCAGGTCCTTAGCACCACTTCCCCCCGAGGACAGAGGAGCTTCTACAGACCGTGCATGCCTTTGCAGCAGCAAACCCTCCCGGCACCCCCGAGCCAACGAAAACCAGCGGTTACCTCAGCCAAAGCATGACCAGTCACCAGTGGTTGGTGAGGCAACGCCAACAGGCTGTTCATGTTACGTTCCTTTGATAAGGCCAACTTGGAAACCGAGCACTTTGGTAAACACCAGAGCAGCAGTTTCCCTCACCACCATCCCTCCTACAAGTTCACCAGTTTATCAAATCGTCTGAGCTAAAAACATTAGCTGTATGTGGAAAGGCCTAGTCAGAAGCCATTTCCTCTTATTTACCCCTCCTCAACAGTGGGGCACAGCCAGGCCACCCATGAGGAGCCCCAGCATGGGGTGAACCTGAGCCCATGCTGTCATGCTGTCCGAGGACCTAGGGAGCCCGGTGCTGTCCACTCCCCACGTCCCAGTGCGGCTCAGGGTCTTGGCCGGCTGCCTCGAGGATGTGCACGTGAGCCCTTCACACAGGTCCAGGAACAGCATCTGCAGACGGCCAGTCCTGGCCCAGCGTGCTGAGAGGAGAGTGCTGGCCCCCACCCTTCCCTTGCTCAGTCCCGTCCCCGGCCCTCTTCTTGCCCTGTTTCAACTTAAGAGAAAATGCCTATCATTGGCTTTTTAACAACTTAAAAGTATCCCAAATAAGACCCCGGTAAGTGAAGCCGGAATCCACTTGAACTGTAAATAGTTCCAGAAGCTCCAGCAGGGCTGTGTACCCAGTGGCGTGTGCCTCAGTGTTTGGACTCGGATAACTGATTCCTTATAGGAGAGAAATGCATGCTGCTCTTTGGTTCTTTCTGTCCAGTTTTTCTAGAGACAACTCGGAGTCTGTTAGGATTCATGGATATTGTATAAATTAGCTACCTGAAGCAGCAGTGGGTCAGGTAGAAAAGTCATGTTCTTTAGCCCTGCCCTCTGCCACCTGTCCCAGGCCCAGAGGCTTCCCCAGCCCACAGGTGTGGGTGAGGTGGTTTCCTGTTGGAAATTCAGGCTGAGAGAGTGTTTTGCTGCTCTGTTCATAGCATGTTTCCGGGAATTTTTTTCTGGAGCCCAACCTCTACCTTCTTAGAATGGGAAAGGAAACCTGTCCTGGGCTCATGTGGTTGGGTCAAAAGAGAAGGGGAATTCTCATTCACCTGGAAAAGTGCTGGGCAGAATCCAGTTTGGAAAATTACAAATCAAGTTAGTCCGAATTGGCTATTCCACGTGTGCATCCACTCGTAGTTGGGCCGGACTGCTGCTCACACACGGCTTGGGAGGTCTGCAGTGTCTGCAAGAAAGTTAGCCTGCGTGGCACTGTGGAAGGAACTGTCTGTATACTCCTGTCACTGTGTTGTTTGTGGTACAATAGTTGAGTGCTGCACAGCACCCCATTTACAGTAAAATGTGAGCAATGAAGGAACAGGCTTGCTCTGGACAAGCCTCGTTAATGTCCAACACCCACCGCTGTCCATAGAGTAGCCTTGGGACAAATGTCATCTCTTCATGTGGGTTCCTGCAGAAAAATGTGTGCTCCCTACCGCGCATTATTTTAATTCACAGCTTTTGTAGGACTAGTCTTTCAGTTGCAGGCTTTGTCCCTCTGTATCAGCACCAACCTCACCAACTCCTTGCATTTATAGGAAAGCAGATTAACTAATCACACTGTGTCACAGCTAAAGGCAAGTGAGGTGGTTGGTGCTAGCACAGAACAAGGAGCACAAAGTCAGGTAGTTCCAGCCATCAAGACGAAAGCAGAGAAGGTGGTCTACTCTCCTCAGGCGCCATCACGGATCGGCTTTGATCCATGGGGTGCCTCTGACATGACCTCAACATGTGAATGTAGGGGGCTTTTGAAAATGCTGCTTCCCCACTGGGGTGGGGTAGGGTGGGGCCGAACACTGAAGTGGGATGTCCACTCCCCCTGGGCTTGGTGTCCTGCTGCAGTGTGGCCAACATTCTCAGTCATGACTGATGCTGAGGAGCATGAGTGGAGTGCAGCCACTGCCCGCACCTGCGTAACTGACTGCTGGCCTACTTCAGCGTCTGGTTAAAACCAGGTGTGTGGAAGGACAGTTAAATCTCTACCCAGAATTTTCTTTTAAGTGAACTGAGGCTTATACCTCAGTGACACTGGTGAGGCTGCCCTGTCCACATCTTCAAGTTTGTGACCTTTGTCAGCTTTTAGTGGGGGGGGGGAGAACTGAGTGATGACATGGTGACTTTGTCTTCAGTGTCTTAAGCAGCTCAAAGTTTGGGTGAAGTATGTTGTATGGTTAGTGGAGCAGAATGCAGGCCCCACATGGACACAGGTAGCAGAATCATTACCTAGCTGCAGAGGTGACCCTGGATCAGCCTGGCCCGATGCCTGACTTTAGTGCTGGCACTAGGCTCTGTTGTCTGCTGTTTCCTTTGCACATGACTTGGCAGGCCTGTCCCTAGGAGGTAAATTCCTGTGGCCTGTATTCTTCTAGCTGGGGAGCAGGACAAGTCAGACATGACCAGTGGCTTGAAGCCTCAGCCCACGCTGAGGAGTGCAGGGCCCTCCCTTCACAGGCCAAATACTCTGTTCTCAGCAAGTCTTGACATAAAGATCCTTTTCCTCAGTGCCAAGCTCCTTGCATCCCTAAACCCTGTCCCTTCCCACAGCCTCACTCCAAAGCATGTCATCTCCATGGTCTGAATCTGCTCTGAATTTCTCTGTACAAGTCTAGTGACTTTTCAGAAAGGTTTCCTGGGCATTTTGAAACAGGCACAGGGAGGCAACCGAGAGCTCTAGGCAGAGTGTGCTCAGTAACCTGCCACTTGTCAGCTACATGCCCTCCTGCAGGCTAACCTCGCAAAGCCAATACCCTAATCAGACCCCTTGGGTTGTAATGTGACCTTACTGAATCTTGAGAGAATCAGTCACCTCATCCAGCAGGCCTGGGATGCCGGGTGCCGTTGCTAGGTGACACCATGCAGGTTCCTGTAGGAGCCACCCCACCCCAGCCTCAGCCTCCTGGGGAGCGGGCCCTTTCCCCAGGGGTCTCTCTTCACCTGGCTCCCTTCCCCTTTACCTTCCCCCACATCCCAATCACATCCACCTGCCTTTGACCACAGTGTTCCCTAGTTCGGTTGCTCAGTGCTGAATATTCCTTTAGTATTCTTAATAGGTTATCCCTTTACATGACTCTCAAGCCATGGAAAATGCTTGTCCATGTTGGTCTTCCTTGCATCCAAGCAGCTTCTCACCTGCTGTCAGTTTGCTCATTGCGCTTTCAGGGACCACTTCTGCATGTACAAGTAAATACATACATGTGTACACACACGTGTAAGCTTTTCTCCTTTCTGCTCATGTGATACCAGACTCTTCATGTGGGAAAAACCACCTGAGAAGTCGGAATGCCTACAAAAGGTGAGCCCAGGACTGGGAGGTATTTTGGAATCTTTCCTTTTCAGTAACCTATTGACTGCAGTGTACCACAATCCTAGCTTCTATACAGAAACTGCAGCCCCTCCCTGACCCTTGCCAGATACCAGGTAATACCAAAGCGAACTTTTCAAGCAAGCTTCTGATGTGTGACACTCAAGCACAGGAGGGGCCGCCCCTGCAGGGACCTGGACACCCAGGTGCTCGCCATCTTTACCCAGTTCAAGTCACACCCAACAGTGACTTCTGGCTACAGCTGTCAGGGCGTCTCTGGTCAGCGCTTGTTTTTGAGGCAAGTTTGAGAAACAGTAGTAACTGAAGGCTGAGGCAGCCTAGCTCACCAGGCAGATGTCTGACGCGCCATCTTGGGATTAACCAGATCCACCGACCTGTCTGAGTCCATCCATCTGCGCTTCCTCCTCTCTGCTCCTGATGCACACCACTCATTTTCTCTTCACTTAGCAACATTTCTCTCCATTTAGCAACAAATTACTCCACCAGTAATCTTATATTTTTAAAGAAAATTCATTTTGCCCCTGCAGATTAAAGTAGCTTCCTCTAGGCAGCCCTGAGGGGAGGAGGAGGGACTCCAGCCTTAGTCCTCACCACCTCTCTGTCATGCACCCAGAAGCAGCCCAGGGCGCCCCAGGATTAAGAATACAACTCACCTCTGGTCTGAAACTTGACAAGGAACTGCACGTGAAACCTACCCATCACCGGGCCCTTACCCAATAGACTTGCCATTGGTCGTGAATAACTGTCTTGAGCTTGTATGATTCTGGTGGAATTTGCAGTTGAAAAAGGAAAATCGCCTGTACTAGACTAGTGAAGACTCCCATGTGCCATGGACTGTTTCTATTTGAGTGAGATTATCAGGGAAAATGGGATTTGTGCAGTGAATGTTACTGTCCTAGTTCAGCTTCACAGACCAAATTATTACATGATGGCAAGTTTTCTTGCTTAGACCACGCATCTGTATGTCTGGTTTACCATTCCGTGCTCTCCTCTGTGACTATATGACCTGAGCACACCCTCTGCTCCAGAACACAAGCCCCGAACGGGGACCCCACCAGCATCCAGAGGCTGGCCTGGCCTGAGCTCCTCTCCACTCCCTGCGCAGGTAAGGAGGCTGGAGGGGCTGTGCCTCCAGTCAGCTGTGCAGTCCCGTCTGCCCCCCCACCCCAGTCCCAGTAGTGCTGGTGGGTGCTAGGATGCGCCCCCACAATGGCCCTGTCTTCCAAGAGTGCTCCTGATAACTCATCTCTGGATCATTGCCAGGAAGGGGGTAGTTTCATCTTGTAGTTCAGCTCATCAGGATTTAATCACAATTACTAGAGGTTGTGTAACTCCCTCAAAGTTTATGAAATGCTGAGCCTCAGGTTTCATAGACATTTGTACACTAAGAATTCTGCAGCAGAATATTTTTAAACATTCGCAGTTTTTGTAAGCTATATTTTTGTATATTTAATTGCTATTTTAAAATTTTAATGCATTTTTTTGCTAATTACTCGTTTTTAAGAGATATAACATGCATGTGATCGACTTAAACAAATGTAAATAAAAAGCAGATTTTGAAAATACTTTGTGTTGTGCCTATGGCCCCGAGCTCAGGAGCCTGCACCACTTAGCCATTTAGCAAGAACTAAAATGCCAAGGTGAATGGATCTGATGGAATGGAGCTGGTTACCAGCATCAGGTGACTGTAATGGAGGTGCTTCTGGACTAGCACCTCCTGTGGTGGGGTGCAGGTGGCGGTGAGTGCACCAAGGTGTGAGAAAGCAGAGAATGGCCCCATCTACCTCATAGGCCTCGAGGGCGCAGACACAGCTGGACAGAGCAGCAGTCTCCTGAAGGTGGACAGCAGGGCTCAGAGGGATTAAAGTGGCAGAACTAGCCTACACCCCACACTCTAGCTTACAGCCCAGGACTGAGCATACCAAATGTGTCGAGAAAAATCACCTCGTTCCAAAGCTGTCCTGTGGCAGCTATTGGATGGCGCTCCTCACTAGACCCTCCAAGTCACCTACTGCCGCACCTTCAGGGAATCCGCTGCTCTCATGGCCATTCGTGGCCCTGGGCCCAAAGCAGGACCCTCTTAAGCCTCTTAATGCCCGTGCCTGGAGAGCTCTTCTCTCCCGTCCCTTGTAACACCCCTGCCAGCCCCCCGCCGCCACCCCCAGCACTCCTGTTTTCCCTAGTTGCTTCCTTCTCTGCCCTTCTGTTCTCATTGTCCTTGTCGCTAAAACCTCACCGTCACGCTCATCTTGCCAAACCCAACTGCCTATTTGATACAGAATCGGGCAGTCCAAAAGCAGGTCTTCCCTCCGAGGTCTACATGCCCTCACAGAACCCCCACACACCACATTCTACTCACATGGCAACCGTCATCTCTCCAGTCCATCTAGATTTAGGTCAGGACCAAGAACACCGCCTCTAGGGGCAGGAAGGGCTCCCTGCAGCGGAGAGCAGACAGGAAGACAAGCACTCAGACAGGACTGGTAGTGGAAGACACAACTGGTAGTGGTTGTAACCAGGGTGCTGCCAATGTGATTGCAGGTTTACACGCAAGGCTGGAGGTAAGCTGGTAGGTGCGGGGACGATGCCAGCACAGGTGCTGGACAAGGACAGGCCTCCCCAGAGAGCAGCTGGCTCTGGCTTCTTCCCTGCTGCTTTATCCAGACCTGTGAAGTCACCTGCCTTGAGACAGCCGGGAGGATCTAGGTAGTAAAGGGCTTGAGATGCACAACTATGGCACCAGCGAGGAGGTGGTGGCACTGTCTTTGGCGATCGTGGTAGGAAAGGAGGTGCACCCACAAGGTAGGAAGATGCGTGGATGAGGGTTGTGGGTCAGGGCTGGAGGTGACTCAGGAAGCTGGGGGTGAGGGGCCGGGAGGGGCAGCAACGTGTAAGTCTGAGCTACGCCATCTCACCGCTCCCTACAGTATCCAGGCCTGCGCGGCCAGCAGCAGTAAACCGCAGCGCCTATCCCTTCCAGGGCTGACCCGGCAAAGGGCCCTGGCCTATGCTGCCCCCACGCGGCCGACACCGGGAGCGCGGAGGAAACGAGACATCCGGGAGCGGCGCGCCAGCCCCTAGCCCCGCCTTCCTTGGAGACAGCCCCGCCCTCCTGTGTCCTAGCAACCTGCCTTCCCACGGAGGGGGGCCACTCTGCTCCCGCACCTGCAGAAGAGGGGAGCTGGTGGCCGCGATGTCATAGGGTTTCCTGCTGGTTCAAAGGCTGTGTTGTACAGGCCCCTCCACTGAGGCCAACAGTTGCCAGGCACCAAATAATGCACAAAATACAGATGCTGCTCTATCTCCAAGGGGGTTTTAAGTTATTCCACACAGTAGAAAGAGTCCAATCAACCTTTAACAAGACTACATCTCAAGTCCTGCCTTTCCCAAGCAGAATTCTGAACCTGACTCAGTTCCATGGCGCCATCCTGCCAAGCTGTGTGTGCAGCAAGGAAGGGTCGCGCCACCACCCACTTCCCCTTTCCCAACCATTTCCATCCGCCTGAGAGAATATCCAGATTCCCCCCAGGTCTCTCAGTAGATGCGGGTTCCCGTGGCCCTGTGTGTCTGAGTTTTTAGTCCTCTACACCATGTTTTTCTTCTGCTAGAGGACCCACTTCTGTCAGATCAAGAACGGCCCCCCAGCAGGAGGCAACTGCCAGGAGAAGGCCTATCTTTATTAATAGACCTCCCCAGGTCTTGCAATGTAAAGAGACCTGAAAGGCCTTGCAAAAAGTTGCTTATCCAAATTCTAGGTACACACCTAACCTGCCCAATTAAGTAAATTTGCAGAACCTTGAAATAAAACATATTTTTCAATGTGTTCACACGAAGGGTCCATGCACACCAGAGCGAGTACTTGGATGACCTCCACGGCCAGCGACAACGTTGTGATCTTAACACAGTAGCTTGCTTTACATTCAGCCAAGTCAAATAGGACACAAAACCGGCCAGCCGAACACTGAACAGCTCTCCCCTGAAGTGGCTCCAGTAAAGCTAACTTGCAGGAATACGCAGCATGTTTAGCGAGGATACACTGAACAGCATCTTACACAGCATATCCTCACTGCCATGAACATGTCCGCTTCTTTAGACACGTGTTATCAGTCACTACGTTAGACTGACATTTTTAAGGAGTGATCTTGATAACTTAGAAAAACACTTGTCCTCTCTTGCTTTGATTCAGGTAGTACACATCATAAAACTGAGTTAAGTCTCTTAAAAAACAAAAGTCCAGAGATCCCAGAGTGGAAGATTCCAAGACCCCTCCCCAGGTACAGATCAGGGGATCTTCAACAGTTCAAGGAGTGCTCCAACGGCTCCAAAATAACCCTGGGGGAAAAAAAACAAAATCAAAAAACCACCAAAAATTAGAGCCATATTCCTTGAACTGACTTACATTATCACAAGTGTTAAAGGCAGTACTGGCTTTACCTCCTCACACCCACTTCCTGAGCACCCATTTTGCTGAGTCCAAGGCCAAGGTGAGAGCAGAGCAGAGCAGCTCTGAGGAGCCCCAGGGTGGGGGTGTGGGGGGAGCTGGATGTACCAGACACCGACACTTCAGCCAAAGCCTGCAGGGAGGGCTCGGAGCTGTGAGGCCAGCAGCTCAGTTACCTCTGGGAAGGTGGTACCCCAGCTGTCCTGTTAGGAGGGAGGAACTAACGTGCCTGGAGCCATTTCCAGATATCGAAGGGGTGAAGGGGGGGGTGGCGCTAGAAGTGCAAGGCAGCAGCAGCAGCGACAGAGGGCTGGTCACAGAATCAGGGCCTGACTGGCCAGTGCTTGGGCTGTACAGGCTGTAAAGGAGGGGAAGGGAGCAGGATGGAGCTGAAAGCAAAGGGGGACCCCTGGAGGTTCCCCCCGAAGGGTGATGCCATCCCTGAGAAAGGAACGCAGAAGAGATGGACAGAGCAAAAAGGGTCTCTACACAGAAGGTGCAAGGGCCAAGGTGCCCAGGCAGCCAAGCCACCGCGCCAGGCAGCGACCGGGATGTCTGGACTGGAGCAGAGTAGCAGCTGCGGTGTCCTGGGAGCGGCAGGAGGCAGAGGCATGGACAGCCACCCTCACAGCATGCAGAAAGGAGCCCAACAGCAAGAATACCTGAAGGGAGGGCAGAAGCAGGAGACAGAGAAGCTGCAGCTGAATGTCAAGTACAGGCCGGAGTCAAGCAGCCTTGGCCAGCTGCAACCAAGACATGATAAACCAGTAACAAAAGAAATTAAGAGACCATGAAAGAAAGTGAAACAAAACCCACTCTCAGAAAAAGTGTGCAGGAGTCAGAGGAACTACACAGAATTCAACCAGTCTCCAAGAGATGAGACCAGTGAGTACGGTGCTTTAAGGCAGCGAGATGACAGAAAAGGAATGTGGGGAGAGCCACAGACTTGCTGGTAGGTTAGGAATATACTGAAAGTCTCTCAAATGTAAGTCCGTTTTCTGAGAAAGGCTGCTAAGACACATGACCACATAGAGAAACAGAAACCTGCCCCTCCACTTAGGTTTTATTTTTTTTCCCCCAGCCTTATTTATTTAAAGATTTCTATTGATGTATGCATACAAGAACTGGGTGCAGGCCAGAGGTACAGGGGGGTAAGAGGAGACACAGAGAGTGGAGAGCAGAACAGGTGGATCTACTGAAACACACTGCTGAGGGGGGCATCAGGCGGGTCAGGAGAGTCTGCTGCGCCATGTGGGCCAGCTCCCGGGCCAGAAGGGCTGGCGACAGCTTGACAGCGTCCTGACTTCAGCCCCTGCCCACCAGGGAGGCCCACCATTTGTTTTTGTTTTTAAGAAGGCAGCCAATGCATCAAATATGACGGGGGCAGGAGCTGCAGCAGCAACACAGCCGAGCAGTGCTCAGGGCTCCCTAGTCACAACCAGAGGAAGACTCAAGAGCGTGCATCTTACAGGAAGCTGCGCATTGTGCTGCATGTGGCTCTCTGTATCTGTGTTTTATTTTTACAACAAGAGAGAGAAAGTTAACCACTATCGAGTTTCACTGAAGACCCAGAACCTATACAAGTAAAAGAGGCTGGTGCAAGCAGTTAATGAGAACAGTAAAGGATAAAAAATACTTAAGAATCTATTCAAAATGTTCACAACAGCAGTTAAAACAACCTCAGTGTGAGAGCAGAACATTTCAAGAAGCAGAGCTGACGAAGCTCCACAAGTACAGAAGCGACACAAGAGTCAGAGTCTGAATGCAAAGGGAAACAGACACGGGCAGCACCGCTAGCCAGAGAGCAGATGCCGCCCTCGGCAGCAGGACGGCAAGATGCCAAGCAGCAGGAGTGCGGGGAGGCGGGCAGGAGGCACAGGCTAGCGCAGGGCTGTGTGCACAGCGTGGGGACCACTGCTGGGTCAGATGCCCCCTGGGAAAGCTGCGAGAGTAAAACCTAAGAGATCTCATCACAAGAAAATGTTTCTATTTTTCCCTTTTCTTTTAATAGTCATTTATTTATGCATACCCCAAGAACCTGGGCCAGAGATGTGAGGAGAGGATTCACCAGAGACAGAGTGGGGAGCAGACCAGAGACAGAGCGGGGAGCAGAACAGGCGGATCTACTGAAATCCACCGCGGAGGGGAGCAGCAGGCAGGACAGGAGAGGTCTGCTGCACCATGTGGGTCGGCTCCCTGGCCGGGGATTGAACTTGTGCTGCAGTGGATGCAGAGAACCCCACAGTTAAGACTTAATCCCTGAGACTTAATCCCTGCACCTCCCAGAGTGAATCTTTTTACCCTTTTCTTTCTATTGAAAAGAGGGATATGAGATGAACCTATTGTGGTCATTTCACAAGATGTAAAGCAAACCATCGTGATATATGCCCCAATAAAACAGGGAAAATGTAAAAACAAAAGTTCATAAAGGGTTCATATTATATTATTATATGATGCTTTTAAAAACGTAACTTAAGAAAACTAACCTCCACATTCTGCCTAGTTCATTAAGAAATAGACATCTGGCTATAGGAAGTTCAACTAAGGTAACATTAAGCAGGGTTTCTTTTTATTCTAATATATAAAGCAAACTAAAACAGATCAAAGGTCACAAAAGGCAAGAAGTACATAAAAGGCATAAAAAACTTAGATAACTTGGTGCCAACTTGTTACTGTAACATTAGAAGGAAAGTTAGGTCACTTAAATCTTTACATTTTTTACATGCCAAATTTTGCACTTTGGATTTTAGCTATGAACTTAAGAGCAAGTTAAAAGGTAAAATATTAAAAACGTGAAACAATTACAATGAAAAAGGATCTCTATTTCCAACAACTTCAAATTCTGCTTTCATTTCTGTCAATTCATAAAGCACTATTAAAAGTAGCTGTACACATACAATTCTTGAAAAAAATGTTCACGATAACGCTATCTGAAATCCAGTAACTGCCCAAGAACTAGAAGAGAGTCCTTCCCATCCACAGAGCTGGTTCTACTTTTTAACCCAACAATTTTAAGGCAAAATACCCAAAACAGGGTATCAGGCTGAGCAATTAATGATCCTTCCCCATTTTGTCACTTCTGGCCTGTCTGGTCCTGGGGTGTTTTTCACTTATCTATTTGTTTTTAGAACAAACATCATAAATAAGTGGCTTATGAAGTGAGAGCACATAAAAACTGACATAGAAGGGCCCCTCCCAGGTGGTACAAGTGGTTAAAATGCAGCACTGTGAATCTATTAGCAGCCAAGGCTCAAGTTCAATCCCTGGCCAGGGAGCTGACCCACAAGGCACAGCAGACCTCTCCTGACCCGCCCACTGCTCTCCTTAGCAGCGTATTTCACTAGACCTGCCTGTTCTGCTCCTCTCTCTGTCTCTGGTGAATCTTCTCACCCCTTGCACCGCTGGCCTGTACCCCAAAGTTTTTGTATACATATGTAAAAATATTAGAAAAAAACAGAACTCAAAAGTAAAACACATTTACAAAGTACTCAATGATAACAATGTAATGTATGGTTCAGAAAATAACCTGTACCAGAAATATAGGTGAATGTTCATCAATACCTTTTTTCTTTAAAATGTTTAAGCTCAGGGCCCTCCCTGGTGGCGCAAAGGGTTAGGACACAGCACTGCAATCTGGCTGCAGTCACATCAGTGCCAGTTTGATCCCCGGCCCCAGAGGTGACCCACATGGCGCAGCAGACCTCTCCTAGCCCACCCACTGCTCCCCTCAGCAGTGTACTTCGTCGATCTGCCTGTTCTGCTCCCCACTCTGTCTATAGTGAAGCCTCTCACTGCCCCAGTTCTGTATGAATAAATTAAAAAAACAAAAAAAAAATCTAAGCTCAGAATTAACCAAAAACCTGCCCTGCATTAAATCAGGTTAAGAAACAGCTTAGAATGTTCAAACCCCTCATCCCGTAATTACAAAAACCTACAGAAGTGCCATTTCACACACTACTTCAAGTTCCCAAGCAGTGTGAGCCACATGCCCTTTACATGTGTAACACAGCACAAGAATTAAGTGTGCTTACCTCATGTTCCGAAAAAAGTGCTTTCAACTGCCCCTTGGACCAGTAATCCAAAGCGTACGCCAAAAGCCGCATGGCGATCGTATTTATTCTCAAGAAGTTTCCAACAAATACCACCTGGTTAATGTTCTGAGCACATCAAAAACAAGCAATTAGTGTTCATCTTAATTTCTGTTCACAAAAGCTACATAAAACAGAGCACCATTTGCATAGTTTTTAGCAGTAGTGTGGCTGCTGATAAAAAAAATGTAAATAATTTACTTAGTTCAGAGTTACTTAAATCTGATCCCCACTAACATTGGACCAACTGGAAAATGTCACTTGAGAAAAAAAAGAGTAGGAAAAACATCTGTATGGAATATGACAAATCAGTACTGTTAAAAGTTTTAGAGATAAGAAAAAAATAAGATAATGGAAATGACATAAGTAGGCAAATTATAGTAAAAATAACAGAAAAACCTCAACCTCCCTTAAGTGATCAAAGAAAAAAATTCAGATGTATTAAAAGTTAGCAAAACAATGAAATTCCTGCCCCAATGTTAGTCAAATTATGATAAAACATCCACTCATTCACACACTCGTGGCTAAGGATCTAAACTAGCACAGCCCGGGGCTAACACCCTGAGCACACATATCAAGATCCACATGAGGGTCGTGTTCCTGCGACAGAGACGCACTCCTCAGGGAGGCTCCTATCCAGAACAGAACCCACCAAGGAGTAGTCTCACTCTCAGATGCTGGACTCAGAGCTGCCCGTGGCAAGCGACCAAATGCCCACCCAGCTCTAGGTAAATGACTTCTGATGTAAAAGGAACCTGATCAAATATATAGTCATAAAATTAATATTTAAATTAAAAATACAAAAGGATATCCACACAAACTATCTTAAAACACCTAAGAACAAGAGGGAACATGCAATAAAAAGTATCCAGATTCATAAGTGATTTTTTTAATTACATGACTGATACAGTGTATTTTTAATTAAAAACAAGACATATTATACCTTTTTAAATTCTTAAGGAACTTGTCTGTAAAAGAAGCTTTTAAACAGAAATGCGTAAGCAGGAACAAGCCATGAAGCCGCACCCCCGGGAAGCCCAGGGACGGCCATTCTCGGTGCTTTCATAGCCCTGTACAATGCTGCTTGACCTGAATGCTACAAGGCAGCACTGTAAAGAAGCTGAAAGCACAAAGACAGCGCGGCTGCAGTCAGCGGAGGGCAGGCGGCCGGTCCTCGGCCCTCGGTCTGCTCCAGCATAGTGGCTTCCCCTGGATTTCCGCCCAAGAGGCCTTACTGTTCCACCATGAGCCTGGAGAACAGACTCAGCAACATGATCCAACACCGCCACCTGGAACAGTTACCTTACCACTTTCTCTACTTCTAGATAGTATTTATCTCTAACAGACAGGGGGAAAAAATCAAGATTACATTATGTGTGAAGAGTTAGAACTGTAATAATCAAACTACCCATACTACGTGCAGGAACAAACTGTAGAATTCTGAAGAAGACAGGGGTACACAAGTTGGAGCCCACTCAGTTAAGTTCTGTGTTTTCCTCAGAGCAAGTACAGAAATGCATGTGCCCTTACTTCATTAAGGGCACACATTCTTGCTATAGAGCCGATGTTGTTGGTGATGGTGATCAACGTCGCTCTGGCGAGGTCCTCTTTGCTGACCGCCTCTCGCTTCTCCTTGCTCATCATGTTTCCAAAACTGTAATGGAGAAAAAAATTCCATTGCTAGGCCAAAGGTAACGCAGACCCCAAGAATACAATCACTATTTTACTATGATAAAAGTGGTTATTTTAGGTCAACATTATTTGACTTTTTGAACTATCAATTACAAAATGGATCATCTGCTCAAAGAGAAATACTGCTTCAAGCAGCACCCTCAAGCATTCTGAAAGAGAAAAAGGTGTTCCCTGTGGTTTCCAATGAACTCTAGCTTTGATACCCTGAAAGGCACCACTGCTGCTACTCAACCAGGGAATTCCAGAAGGTGCCTCTATTAGCAATTTATGTTCCACTGCATAGCGGCTGCACTCAGCTGAATGGTCACGTTTAGACTGTTTTACCAGAGCAAATAAAGTATAGATTGCTGAGTGCCAGAGTAAACTGCTTAAGAGCTTCAGATTTGCCTTGAAGATAAAAGTACTTAAACTACTTCAGTAATTGAGCAGAACACAAACCCAACCAATCAGACAGAAAAGGAAGTAATTATCAGTAAGTACATGCTGCAAACATAGAAAATGAAATCTACAGCATTTACAAAATGTCTAAAACCAGCAAAGCACGTATGACTGATTGCCTTTACAATTATTAAAAACCATTTGACAATACACACACAAAAACTGTGTTTCTAAGCCATATGAAAATGAGATGAAGAAAACCGACAATAGCATTAAGAGAATAAATGCTTAGGAATGTATAAGAAAAAAATCTAATGCTTGTACACTGGAAACTATGAAATATTGAAGCAAGCGGCAAAGATGTAAATAAATGGAATGACATCCCATCCTCTTGACTCAGAAGAACTGAACAGGAAGATGACAGCACTCCCCAAAGTGATCAATGGACTCATTATGATTCTTGTCAAAGTCCCATCTGCCTTGTTTTTTGCAAACACTGACAAGTTACTCCTAAAGTTTGTATGGAAAAAAATCAAGGGACCCAAACTATCCAAAACAATCTTGAAAAAGATCAAGTTGAGTGATTCAACTTGCAAATTTCAAAACATAGTACAAACTGCAGTAACAAATGCAGGCGGGCAGCACTGACACGGATAAACATGCAGATCAATGGGGCAGAAATAACACCATATACTGACGGTTAATGCATTTTCAACAACGTGGCCAAGGGAATGTAATGGGCTAAATGATGCTGGGACAATGGTGCAGAGACCACTGTGTATCAATATACAAACTGGATCACAAGCCTAATGTAAAGCCTAAAATCCTAGAAGTATTAAAATACAGAAATACATCTTCATAAACTCAAATTACACAAGGATTTCTTTTTTTTTTAATTTATGTATACAAGAACTAAGGTGTAGGCAAGAGGTATGGAGGGTGAGAGGATTCACCAGAGACAGAATGGGGAGCAGAATAGGTGGATCTACTGAAATACACTGCTGAGGGGAGCAGCAGGTGAGACAGGAGAGGTCTCCTGTGCCATGTGGGCTAGCTCCCTGCTGGGGATCAAATTCTTGTGGCTCTTGACAGCTTGTATTGCTGACACTTAACCTGTATGTCACCAGGGAGGCCCATAAGCAAGGATTTTTGATACATGTATGTATGACCCCAAAAGCACAAGTGTTTAAAAATTAGGTAAGACGAACTTCATCGAAAGTTAAAATTTTCTAAGCTGCAAAGGAAGTGAAAATGTGTGCAAAGTTTGTAACTGATCAAGGGACTTACTTAGAGAACATGTAAGAATTCTTACAATAACAAGGCAAGTAATTCAACTAAAGAATGAACAAGACTTTAGCAAACACTTTTCCAAAGACAGCAAGCCAATTTGTGTATAAAAAGATGTCCAATGTCATTAGTTATAAGAAATTCAAGTAAAATCCAGAATAGTCACTTTACCTATGAAGTCAGTTACAATCAAAATGCAGATAGTAACAATGTAGGCAATGATGCAGAAAAATTTAAATAGTTATACACTATGGAGGGGGATGGGAGGGAAAGTTATAAAATGGTATGGCCCTTGAAGAACCAGCCTGGCAGTTTCTCAAAAGATTAAACAGCATTGCCACATAATTCAACAAATCCTCTCTGGGCATACATAGCCAAGAGAATTAAAGATATAGTCACATGAAGAGTCATGTTAACAGGATTATTTTTAATAACCGAAAAGCTAAAACCCAAATGTTTACCAACTGATAGATGGATAAATACAGTATTGTATATCCATACAATGACACAGTAATCAACAATAAAAAAATATACTGACATGATACAACATGGATGAGCCTTGAAAATATGCTAAGAAGTCTATCACAAAAATCATCTATTGTATACCATTTCTATGAAGTACACAGAATAAGCTAATCCATAGACAGAAAATATATTAGCATTTCCCAAGAACTATAGGTGAGGGGATGGGGAGAAACAGCCAACAGATAAAGTTTTTTTATGGAATGATAAAAATGTTCTGAAACTGGATTGTAGTAATGAGTGCACAACTGTATATGTAATTTAGAAACCATTAAATGGTACACTCTGAAACAGGTGACGACAGCTAAAAGAAATTTAAGCTTTAAGCTATTTAAAAGGAATAAGATATATTCAGATTTAAGTATATTAGTCTTACTTTTTTTTATTTATTTACTTATGCAGAAAAGAACTGGGGTGCAGAGCAGAGGTGCAGAAAGAGTGGGAGAACAGGCAGATCTACTGACATACACTGCTGAGGGGAGCAGTGAGACAGACAGAGGGGCCGGCGCCCTGGCCAAGGACAAAGCTCAGGCTGCAGTGGTGACAGCACTGAGACTCGCCCCTAGGCGACCACGGAGCCCTGTTTGTCTTGTGTTTCTTAAGACTGCACATGCCCCTTACCTCGAAGCCACCGCCCAGCCTGGCAGTCCAAACCTCTCATAGTCCCCTCCATAAATGTCTCGCACTAGTTTGTCCACTTTAGTGCTATCTCCACGAGATGCCATTTCAAGAGCTTCTTCAAAAGTGGTACAGCCAGTAAGAAGACAGCAGAGACCAAAAAAAGTTCCTCCTCCAAGACTGATTAAAAACAAACAACAAAGGTATTATGACATATTTAAAAATAAGAATAGTTCCCGCCTCACTCATTGCTCCAATCCAATCATGAGGTACCACCAAAGGAAACAAGTCGGTTGGGGGAAAAAATTATGTGCTTTACATACATTCTGAAGATGCATATTCATGGAACTGAGCCCCTGCCTTCCTTTCCCATGTGAATGCGCCCAGGAATCCTCACGCAAGCACCCAAACACCTCCACAAATGTTTCCCTCCCACCAAAATGACTCCTTTCATTCTTTAATTCACACCTCTTAAACTCAATCTTCCCCAGCACATTGAGTTTCCTAAAGTGATCTCTGATCCTTAAAGCAAACATACTCAGTCTCAGCTGCCACCGAATTCTCCCTTTTCTGAGTCGCCTATCCCAATCATTTTTCCACTACTCAGCACCCCAACTTCTGGATCTAGAACATCCTCAGGACTATGTGTACATGCTGCAACTCTATGGCTATCTAAAAGTCAGTATCTTCCCTCACCTTCTTAATGACACTAGCTGGTAGCTACGGTCTGCTTTATGGTCTGTGCACAAAATATATTACCTAAGGTAAGGGAGTATGAACTCTGGAGTCCACTGATCAGATATGGTTTTAAAATACGGTAGTGAAAGCTTGAGCAAGTGAGACTAAAGCCGGTCATGCAATCAGAATTTCTAATAAGAAACAACAGTATTTGTATAATCCCAGAAAAATGTTCATCTTTCATGTAACATGTTCTTGAAAGTATACGTATATGCAACAGTTAAAAACTCAGCTTTAACCCATTATGATATCAAGAATGAACAATGACCTTTATTAAAGGACCTACCTGGTACCTGTGACTCGCTTGTAATTATCTTTGGAGTATACTGCTAAGATGCTAACCCCAGAACCAATGTTCACCAGAAGTAGAGGGTATGGATTTTTCAAGTCAAATGGTAATTTCTGACATTTCTCAGAATCAGCAGGATTTTCAAAGTAATAGCACTGTGACCGTCCATTGAATCCAACTGAGTCAATGTATAAGATTCCTTTTATTAAGCAATCTAGTTCATCAAGTTTACAAAGCTGAAGATCACCTATCTGTAATGAAATAAAAAAGCATTCAGACTTTTTAATCAGCCATTCATATACAAAACAACAATAATGCATTCTCTTCATTAAACAAACCATAAAAGTGCACACAAGCATGTATTATCTGCACATGCTCTCCAGAGCAGACCCGGAGGCGACAAACAAGGGACGAGTGACGAAGCAGGCTCCTGCTTCGGAAAACTACAAACCACTCAGCTGCCGGAGAGATGTGCCAAACATGCAAGCAAAGAACAAGATGTCTCTCTGCAGAGACCGTAAGGCAGGAAGGAGCACAGGTAAGACCACAGCCCTGTCGGCAGAAAACAGGACTTCAGAATTCCAAAGGACTCGAGCACTCAAGCATCTGGCAGCAGGCAGAGCCACAAGGACTCTGACATCTGCTTTCCAAAGACCACGTCATGAGGCCGAGAGCAGTATCAAAGTAAGTCACACTTTACTCTTTAATAACCTGAAGCCAGAAGTCTGAAAATGTCTGACTAGAGGGTAAAATTTCTCTCTCTCTCTCAAACTAATTACATTCTCTGGTAGAGAGAGAATTTTCAGCAGTACCAAAATTTAAAACACTGTTATCCAATTTAATTCCACTTAAATAAGAAGTAACTAAGTTATTCATATTCTGAAACACTGTATCACACTTAAAAATGAAGGGGGTCGGCCCTCCCTGGTAGCCCAGCGGGTTAAAGCACTGCACTAAGAAGCTGAAACCACTACCGCATGAGTTCAATTCCCTCCTGCCCCGGAGGTGACCACATGGTGTGGCAGACCTCTCCTGACCCTCCCGCTGCTCCCCTCAGCAGTGTGCTTCGTCGATCTGCCTGTTCTGCTCCCCTCTCTGTCTCTGGTGCTCCCCTCTCTGTCTCTGGTGAAGTCTTTCGCCACCCCCTGAGTCTCTGGCCTATACCCCAGTTCTGTATGCACAAATAAATAAATCTTGAAAAAAAAAAAATGAAGGGGGTCTTCCTTCAATTAAGAACTGCAGCAGGAAGAGATCTAAGAAACATTGTTAATCAAAAAAAAAAAAAAAAGGGTTGAGAAACACTATAAAATTTTTAAATTGGAGTCAGGTTATATCCTCATCCCCCTGCAATGGCTCCTGCAGGCTGGAGTGTCTCTAATAAAGACTTGCCTGGCTCAACTACCAAAAGATAAATATTCAAATTGCCTTGCTTTAAAACCAAATTTATATGCACATGTCTGTGTCACAGTCATATAAAAAGATAAACCTGAGCCCTCCCTGGTGGTGCAACGGGTTAAAGCACAGCACTACAAAGCTAGCCACAGCCACTTCAGCATGAGTTCGATCCCCATCCAGGGAGCTGACCAACATGGCTCAGCAGACCTCTCCTGTCTCCCTGCTGCTCCCCTCAGCAGTGTACTTTTGTCAATCTGCCTGTTCTGCTTCCCACTCTGTCTCTGGTGAATCCCCTCACCACCCCTGCACCTCTGGTCTGTACCCCAATTCTGTATGTATAAATAAATAAATCTTAAAAAAAAAAAAACACTTTTCATTAACAAGGTAACTTTAGAAATGGCATAAAGAAACATCCACATTTTACTCTATGAACCTCTACATCATTTGAATATTTGTATGTATATTCAATATAGGTAATAAATGTAAAGATGCCCCATAGCAACTTAACACTTTTCAACCAAGACTAGTACTGGCAAATTCTCCCCCACTAAATTCTTACTTGATTATATTCATTCTGTTTATTCTGATCTGCCATGAAGACAGAAGTCAACAGCTAACTGCATTCAATCTCTAAATAACCCCAACTAAGAAGATTAAGTCTTCGTACCAAACCCAAACCCTTGAAGCATTCATCACTATCCTTATTTCATCTGCTCATGCCTCAGGTCACGAGTTCAATCTCAACTTCCCAACACTTGAAATCTCAAGTGCCAACATTTTCCTTTTTTCAAAAATTTATTTATGCACACAAAAACTGGGACACAGGCCAGAGGTGTGGGGGTGAGAGAGACAGAGTGGGAAGCAGAACAGGCAGCCTCACTGAAATACACTGCTGAGGGGAACAGTGGGCAAGACTGGAGAGGTCTGCTGCACCATGTGGGTCACCCCCACTGGCCAGGAGGCTGCAGTGGCTGCAGATAGCTTCACAGTGTTGTGCTTTAACCAGTTGTGCCACCAGGGAGGGCCCTCAAGTGCCAATATTTTTATTTCTAAGTCCTACAACTTCTAATGGACACCAGCTGAATTACTTACATACCTAGTAAATAATACTTAAAGAGAATAAACTCAGTATTTTAAATATTTCACTGCCGTTGATTAAGTATTCGTCTCTCCTAATGCACAAGCAGCATTTGATAGGTATTTCATTCTCAAGCAATTTTCAAGGATAATGCTGAGACGAAAAAGCGTAGCAGTCTTAAGTACCAGTACCTACGGTACAAATTCCACACTGCACCCACCCCTACCATTACCACACAACCTCTGGAAACAACCTGAATGGTGTCTAAGTATGTTCCAAAGAAAAGTTCTAGTGTCCTGGGAAAAAGGGCTTTTCCTTTACCTCTCAGTTATGATCCAGTCACTGTGAGGTTCCACAAAGGAGGGACCTAACTCTCCTTCTGCCCCCTTCCCCTGACCATACAGGCAGAAAAACCACTGAAAACCAACCACCAAAAGAAGTTTAAGCGACAACCATAAAAACCTTGTTTCAAAAGTAAAACTGATTCTGTATTAAGATTATAATCAGCTAGAGGGCAAAATAAGGAGGACTGAGAATGAGAACATGGTCACAAACCCCACAATGACACATAAGGGACAGGAAGACTCTCAGAAATAATATTCTCATTTGGTGGCATTAAGAATGGTCATAGAAGAGATGTTAAATCTACCTCACACACTGAAGGTCTGCCTTGGTCAATTCACTTGTGAGTTCTCCCCCATGCCCTTCAAAGGACCTAGCCTCAACGCCTGATCATATTCACTGAAGAAAAACAAAATCAAGTGCCAATGGCACATCTCCCAGGGTCAGGTGAGATGCAGGGTTCCAGTTAACAAATGTGCAGCAGCACAGGACACTCTGGGCTGTGCTGGCAGTCATCACCACTGTCCTACGGCCTAAGAACACTTCTCTGACCCAAGTTCCTTATCTAATTATTATACTAAGCAAGAAACAACTGAGGGAACAAGAGGACTGATATGAGACTGGCACAGTATTCTGACATGAAATGACATTTTGTCCCCTTGTTTTTCAATATCTTTTGTTCAAGATTTAACAAAGTCCATCCTGATAGGTACTTCCACACTCTGCTTAGCACAGACTAAAAAAAGGTGCTCACTTTTAGTGGTTCGATTCTCATCAACTCATCTGAACTGATCTGAACTGAGCAAAAAGTAAATATACAACCTCCAGATGGTCAGGCCCTCCCTAACACTATTTACATTTAATCTGACTCAAGAGAATTCAAGTTCCATTACAAATGGAAATGATTCCATCACTTGCTACTTAATATTTTTAACAGTTGAATTATCATAAATTGTATATAAGCTAAAAAATGCATACTGTGAGGAAATCCTGCTCAAATTTGTACGCTCCACCTCCAGTGGCACAAAAGACAGTGTGGAGACTTGAGAAGTTTTTATCTCTGCCCATCTGAATAAAAGCAGGCATGTCATGAGTGGGAAAGCGTATAAAGTGCAGATTGCCTTTGCGTCCACACAGAGTCAGGTCCTTCAGCTCCAGGTGCACGTCCCGAATACCCGTGGACCCGTAAGCCACGTTAGAGGTCAGGTACTTCCGAATGCTTTTAAGACTTTCTACTTCTTCTTCTTCTTCTTCAGCAGTGATGTCTTTGGGTTCAAAATAAACCAGCTTGACCAAGGTTCCACCAATATCCAAGCCAAACCATGGGAATACTAAATGTGGAAGAAAAAAAAAAAGTCAAAACAGTTTTTTCCCTGAAAACTAAATTTACACTTGCTCAATTAGCAATTTATTTCATACCCTAAACGCTTCCAAGTTCTAGCTAATAAGCAAAAAGCCTTTTAGGAAAATAATGATTCCACGTGATTTAGAAGCACAACTTTGAAATGTTAGAAAAGTCAAAAAGAAAAATATCAGAATTTTGAACCAACCAAAACAAATTTTCACCCTCCCCCTTAGCTTGAGAGGGGAGAATATTGATCATTCCCTAAGCTCTGGTTTAGTTCTCAAAATAAGGGTAGAAGAAATTCCCAACCCTATGTAACAGACACTCCAGTGGTCAATTTCTCTCCCAAACCCGCAAAACCCTTAGGTCTTAAAAACAAAGTTTTTCAAAGGACTTCAATGGAATAGACACATCAAAGTTTATAAATGTTCAACAATTCTCTTCCAAAAAATAGTTTCAAGAGATGAGATCAAGACAGAGTGCAGAGACATTCGTATCGTCCCTTCCCACTGGAAATCCTGGAAATGCCTGCCTTGGACATGCCTGCAGATTATAGATTTGTTGACATTTTCTAAAGTCACTCTAGGAAACAAGATGTGGCAGAATTAGTCTGAAAGAGACAGTAACTGCCCAAAACCCTCAAAAGAATACTGTAATAATTAGGGGTAGCTACGAAGGTGGGGGAGAAGAGAAATGCTCCATCCAAGCTGTAAGCAGAGGTGGGTGCCATGGGGTGACAGCAGGCTTGGTGCAGTCAGCATCTGCTGAGGAAATGCATTTGGCATAACCCAACAGGCTAGCCACTTCCCTGGACAAAGAGCCAAGGCCCACCTCCAACCCACAGAGGGTAGTGTTCAAAAAGCATGGGCAGCTGTGTACAAAAATGAGGACAGCACCAGGGTAGCTGGTTTTCCAAGAATGGGAAACCCCACAATCAACCATATATCCAACCTGTCTCCCACAATTCATCCTGACAGACTGGTACACACAAACCACATCCACTAACAGGAGAGCAACATCCTCGAACCAGGGATATTTGCTTTACAAACTATAATCACCAAAAAGGACAATCAAACAGTGAAAATGGGAAGTTAAACATCTGAAGAGAGAATTGCAGGAACAAACAGTAGGCTTAGAATATTTTCAATGATTCAACCATAAATATTCTCAAAGGTAAAATCTCATCCATGAAAAATGAGTAAGCTACCACAGGGGGGAAATAAATCAAATTAATAAATGATCATCAACTGTGGCTGTAAGAATTCACAGATGACAAAACTACAGAGAACTACATACATTGTGTTTACAGATATATTAAACACAAGCATTTATAGGTCCAACTGGCAAAATCTACATACAGTCTATGAATTAAATCAATGTTAACTTACTAGTTGTGGAGGGAAAACACTTTCAAAATCCCCCAAAAATGAGATAAACTACTTACTACACACTTAGTTTAACAGAGATGAACCTCTAAACAGGCTGAGTAAAAAGAGGTTTGCACAAAAAGTTAACAAGGCTATGAGCATGCTATGTGATTCCACATACATAAAACTCTAGAAAACACAAATAGTGGAGTAATAGAGTCAGAAATTTCAGGATATCCCAAAGAAAGACTTCCAAAGGAAAAAAGTGAATTCCTACAAAGAAATAAAGGTAAATTTAGACTTTGCATCAGTGACACTGATGCTAGAAGACAATGGAGCACTGGCTTCTAAAGTTGTAAGGAAAAAGATTTAAAATTCATAGCCAGTTAAACCAACTTTCAAGTGGTAGTGCACAAGAAATTTACTATTCAAAGACCTTCTCTAAAGTAATTAATAAGTGCAAAAAAATTAATTTTATAATTAAAATATAATTTTAACAGCATTAGTGAAGATATAATCTATAAGAATAAGCAAAAGAAGCAATACATGCTGAATTTTAGAAAAAATAAGCACTATGAAACTAAAATACTTACATATTTCAACATAGGAAGTCAAAGAGGGAAGAGAATGGAGAGGGAAGTGAAAGCAAGCAGCAGCTCTATCTTGTCGGGGAATGAGATTCTGATTAATTCCAAACAATAGAAAAGTGATGCTGTAAAATTTAAGGCAGCACCAGAACAGAGCATATGACCTTCAAATAACTAGGGAGGGAAAAAACACATCAGTTCAAACACAAGGGAAAAAGTATGGCAAATACAAAAGAAGAACTGATAGGAATCACTGCAAACATATTAGTAAATCATAAACAGATCAAATTTCTCTTCTAGAATGGAAAAGAAATGCAATGATATGGTTTTAAATATTTATTTATTTATTTATTTATGCATACAAAACCTAGGATATAGGCCAGAGGTGCGGAGGAATAAGAGGATTTACCAGAGACAGAATGGAGCACAGTACAGGCAGATGTACCAAAATCCACTGCTGAGGGAGCAGTGAGCAGGCAAGACAGAAGGTCTGCTGTGCCATGTGGGTCAGCTCCCTGGCTAGCCAGAAGTTCTGCCAGGGACTGAATCTGAGCCCCAGTGGATGGTGACAGCGTCATAGCACTGTCTTTCACCCCTGAGTCACCAGCAGGGAGGCCCTCAACTATATGCTTTTATTAAAAAAAAAAAATCTAAAACAAGGTAGACTAAAGTTAAGTGGCAAAACACAACAGAGTCCCAACACAAGTAAGAGTTGGATACTTTGAGATGAAACAGCATGCAGTCAAAAGCACTCACATCAAAATCTTAAGCAGATCCTTGGAAACCAACAGCAATTGGCTCATATTTAGGAACCACTATATAATAAAAAGTCAAACATTATGTTTCGGGACTAACACTGCATTTAACAGAGGCTATTATGTTCCATTGTGAGGTGTCCTGCAAACAGTGATTGACCAAAGAAATCAGATGTCACGACTTCTATGCTACCCCCACTTGCAATTCTATGTTCACAGACCAAATCAGGGGGTGGACTCACTAGCACCATTTTTTAACTAGTTTATATAGGTGAATTTGGGTAAGCAAAATAAATGCCTGGACAATGCTAACTCCAAAATATCAAGCTAACATTAACAGGAAGCAAACAATACTAGCAGATTAAACATTTCAAATAATGAATCATTAATAGGGGACAAAATGAAATTTTTTCATGTGCATAGTTATGATTGATAGGATCCTACACATGCTTCAAAAAATATCAAAAGCAAGAAATTGAGAAATGTACAAATCAGTTTGAAAATAACACAAGCCTCAGAAAGGTACACACACACAAAAATAAAGGAATACACAGGTTTATCACAGGTAAGGTGGCTCCATTTAACACAAAGTTTGCATCAAAAACAAATATACTTTCAAGTACCCATAAACCATTCTCAAAAGTCAAGCACTGATTTAAAGAATTTCAAATTTCAAAGAACATCCACTTTCCCTATTATCTCAAAATGATAAATAACCCAACAGACATAAAAGAAATAAATCCAACTAGGAATTTGTAAATCCTAACAATTTACAAACTGTAAATTTGTGACATCTTTTGATAAAGAGGAAACCCAAACAAAATTTATTTTAAATGAAAAACTCCACAATCCCAATAGATTTTACTCAAGGAGCGTCTCCCTGGTGGCAAAAGGTGTTAAGCAGAGCTCTACTGTACAGAGTGGTCCCTAGGAAAAGGGTAAGTTCCAGGTTCCCTGCCCCACCCAGAAGGAGGGTGGAGCTGAGAAGAGAAAAAGTAGGAAGCAGGGTGGAGAGCCAGAGGAGACCTGAGGAAGCCACATGGAGCAGCGAGCATGTGATGGAGAAGCCATGCTTGTTTCTTGGCCCTGGACTGGTTGAAAGAGATGTGGGTGAGAGACCCGCGGGGAGGTCGACTATGGCAGCATTTATCTTGATTTGGGTTTGGCTCTCGTCCTCCCAGGCTTGTCTGGCCATTTCGGACCCTTTCCTATGGGCCCCGGCCAGAAGGTGATTCAGTCTTGTGGCGGCTTTCAGGCCTTGCTTTGGGCCAGTCCCTTTTGGGTGGACTTTTGCCCACGAGGGGATGGGTCACTTCAGGTGTGTTTGATTTAGAAGTTATATTCTTTGTGATCCATATTGTCTATTTACTGTATTAAAGTCCCTTTTCGTTAAAGTCATATATTTTATTTTGATGTGGTGGATGGCAGAACCTATTTAGAGCAGGCAGGTTTGGGAGTTCAGTGGTGCCCCTTTCTCCAAGCTACTGGCAGCTGCAACAAGTTCGATCCCTGGCCAGGGAAGTAGCCACATGGCACAGCAGACTACTCCTGTCTTGTCCACTGCGCCCCTTGGCAGTGTATTTCAGTCAATCTGACTGTTCTGTTCCCCACTGTTTCTGATGAATCCTCCCACACACACACACACACACACTGCACCTATGGACCTGTACCCCAGTTCTTGTATGTATTAATAAAAAAAAAATCTTTAAAAAAAAGTTTTTACTCAAGGAAACCTCTGGCATTAAATGTTTACCAAATGTATTCAAATGAAGAAAGCCTCAATACAAGGCAATGTCACATAGAATTTGAAATGCTAGAAAAAACATATCAGACCCAAAATAAACGAATTAAAGATAAAAACAAGATATAAATAAAATTAGGAAAACATCACTGAACAAAGCCACAGGAGAGCTGAATCAATAAAATCAGGTTTTGAAAATGTCACTAAAACAAATTTCTGCTAAGGATATCCTGAAACAGAGAACAATTGTTTTAAAGAAATAAAGGATGAAAGCATACACAATCAAGCATTGTGCAAGTAAATCAATAGTATATGGTATCACAAGTTGAAGACATACACTAAAGAAAGGATGAACTACAAATAGAATACAAAAAGGAGCTCAAGGAGAAGACAGAAAACACAGAAATCAAAAGGACTGAAAGACTGTATAAAGGTTAAAGATGTGCCCACCCAAACAATAACAAAACACTGCCAGGCTCTAGTGGCTTTCAGGTAAACTTTTAAGAAGATTTATGATACGGAAAAATCTAGAAATACTCCCCAAGTCACTTTAACCTTATATCAAAGTTATGGGAGGACCCAAAAAAAGAGGTAATGTATAAACATTAAATTGTTAAACAACAGAATCCAACCATGGATTGGGTGCCTGCTAATTCACTCATAGGTCAACAGGGAGTTTTCTCAGGAATGTAAGGATGTTTTTCACATTAGAAATTACAATTAATGAAACTGCTTACATAAAACTGAAGGAGAAAAACCATGAATCTCTCTCTCAATGGATTATAAAAATTAAGAATTAAACAGAAGGAATAAAAAATTTTAAGAAGGTATTTGGATTCAAGAATCAACAGCTTTTCCTACAAAACTAGCAAAACCCAACAAAATGACATGGAAAAAAAATGTCATGTCATGTACAGCAGTATAACAAGTCATAAAATGTTCAGAAATTAAATATGTATGGTCACTATTAAATGGTGTACAGGAAGACATATCCTGCTCCAGGCAAAAAAAAATTAAAATGTCAATTTTAATGAATCTACAAGTGTCCGTGCAATTCTAAAGAGAATACTGTGGTTGAATCCTCAGCAGCAAGCACCTCGGCCTCAGGGCATCCTGAATGCTTCGGACCAACAGAAGTCCATTCCCAGGGACAAGTACAAATCAACCTGGATTATGGAAAGGCTGTCCCTAGCAACTAGGACACTATTCTAGTTGCAACTTCACTGTTACAAAAACCAACAGTGCTAGATATGATTAAAGGAAGGAGAGTCAAACTACCTGCTTTAGGATGACGCCAACCCCATGGATAAGCAAAGAGCTACAACAGCACTTCAGAAACAAACAAAAAAAACCACATCAGCAAGATAGGAATATGGAATTTTGGACTTATTTTGTACGACCAAAGGAAAATTTTGTAAGGCTTAAAGCAAATCAATACTCTTATTTCCTTATATTAAAAAAAAAAAAACCAACATTGTATGTTTCAGTATATTACTACTATGTTTCAAATGATAATTTACTAATCAAGCACTACAGAAGGCATTTTAGTGCATACACTTATTTAACATTTACAAGTAACCATACAAGACAAGTCCTATAATCATACCATTTTACAGAATATGCAAAACTGATGTGCAAAAGAGGCCAAAGTCAAAAGGAGGCAGAATTCGAACTCAAACCCAGATTTCCAAAAGACTTTTAACAAGTTTCTTTTAACAGGTATGTGTATAAACCTAAGAGCACAGAAAACATGCTTAGGTTAATAAGAAAGTAAGATTTAAAAGCAGTTTAATAACTCCCCATTCTTTAAATAAGATTAAAGTATATGGAAAAATAAGGAGTCTTAAGAGAATAGCTCAGTTCACATGATGTTAAGTCTCTGTTTCTGGGCTCCTGTTAGCCTGTACAATGTAGAATTGAGGGGCATAGGTCCATTAGACCCAAGTTCTCTGGTAATGGCTAAGGAAATGGTCTCAGCCATACACTTGTTACTTCTAAACTTGCAGTCTGTCCAAAAGAGCTTAGATTCCTATAAGATGTTAATTCTCAAGTATAGAATGTTAAGTCATGTTTTATAATATAATGAATACTGAAATAAGCATTCCAACTATTTCTCAATATACAGTATTTCTGATAGGGAATGTCAGAGAAAAAAGGAAATCTTGCTACACTGTCATATATCCTCGTAGGAAATTTATCACTTCTTAATAATGAGTCTTGCCATTAGTCTTCACAGATACTTCACTCTACTTGCAGCTCCAAGTACTATTTCCTGACATTAAAATCTCTAAAGTACTCAGATAGTTTAAACTTAGAACATAATTCTAGAAAGGATATAGACTCTCCTCATATAGAGTATGCATGCAAAATCATCTTTAGCATAATGTCTGTGTCAGAATAGGTCACAACAACTAAAACATCCTCCAAGAAGGAATACATGGTTTATGAACTCCTCACTTTTTCCGACATTATGAAATCCACTTTTACCAGACCGCACGTGGTCCCAAAATACTACAAAACCCAGTCCCAGACTGGCTAGGCAGCAATCCTCGGCCCCAGATTAAGATGTAAGCCTTAATAATTATTCTTATTCTCAAAATAGCTTTAACTTGAGAACTACATAATTTAAAATACATAAAACCAGACGACTGTATTTAATTCTACATTTGAGAATTATAAAACCTAACAGATTGTTTAAAACTGCAAGATGGTGTCCTTTTAGAAAGCACACTTTAAGCTATGTTTTAGAAAAGTAGGATGGCCTTCACATCCTTTCAGTCTTGCTGACAATCAGTTGAGAAACAACAGTGCTGATGACAAAGATACACTGAACTATGACCTGGAAAATGCCCACAACCTAAACTTAAACCCAAGGAACATCATCACTCTTTCAAATGAACAGTCAAAACAGCCTGTGAGTTCAAGGAAACCAGTATAAAATGTTTGGCAAGTAATAATAACTAAGTTGCTATCATTAGCATCTTTGTTTCCATCCTTTTAAAGGCATCCCTACTTGACATTTCTCAGCCCTGTGCCACACTCCACTTAGAATCTAAAACTATGGAAGAACATCCCTAGTAACTGTGCTGCATGAAGTCTGAGATGGAGACAGGTCTGGAGATCACAGTGCTCTAAGGGACAGAAATTGAACCTGACTATAACCAGAGCCCAGACAAATTCGTAGAATGACCTGGACCGCTATGTGAGTTTCAAAAGGCAATTTCCTACCTTTATTGCTTAGTAGTGTGAGGTAGGTTTTCTAACATCAAAAGTAAGGTGGCACTACCTCAGACCCAACTCTCCTAGATAGAAATACAAACAAATTTAATATTTACTCAATTTTTCTAAAAAAAAAAAAAGTATATTCTTGGAGGGCTTAGCAGTAAATACACCCTCCCCATCTCACAGGTACATTCCTCACAGTTCAGAAAGAGCAGATAGGAAAGGGGGAAAAAACAGTATCTTGCTTATTTCTTCAGCAGGTCTCATTACTGAAATTATTTTTCATGACCTTTAGTTCCTTAAAAGAAGTTTCAGAACCACTTTATGTATCTTTCCAACACAACCTAAACCAATATTTTTCAGAGTGTCTTTTACATCACTTGTATGTGAATGAGTGCTTAAAATGCAGGTTCTTAGATCTCTCTCCATATTGATTTAGTAAGATTTGGACCTACAATGTACATTTTTTTTAAACTCTTCAGGTCATTTTTATGCTCAAAAATTGGAAGCATTCCCACAGTATCTAGAAATTTTCACTTAAGGCAGCCTTGAACGCAAAAGCCAGAATTACTGAGTTCACATTTCTATTCCACCGTTCATAAGTGATATGACACTGGGCAAATACACTAGTTTTTTCATCCATAAGATGGAATGCTACCACCTCAGAGTAGTAAGGGGTAATAAGTTACTGAAAGCTCAGTAAGAAGGGGCTAAGTCTGAGTACTGTCAAGCTACTGCCAGTCCCTGCAACATGAGTTCAATCCCTGGCCAGACCCACATGGCCTGACAGATCTCTTGCCTCACCCACTGCCCCCCTCAGCAATGTTTCAGTAGATCTGCCCTGTTCTGCTCCCCACTCGGTCTCTTGTGAATACACACATACACACAGCCTGTCTGGCCTACACTCCAGCTCTTGTATGCATAAAATTAATCTTTAAAAAAAAAGTTCAGAAACAGTGTCTGACTGTTTCTAACCCCTGAACACAATACTAGTTAGAATCCGATGTCCAGTGGCCACTATCGGATACATAGTTTTAGTTCTTCTTTGCTGAATCTTTGGAATTTACATCCATTTCCAGTGATGTACAAAATCATAAAGGAACGGTTTTTGCAGTCCTTAAAACAAGTCTTTTTCAAAAAAAAAAAGGTACTTGCTGCAAGAAGATTATGTTCTCCAAGTTGTTCCAAAAGAGGAAAAACAAAAGAATTGAAACTCCCAAACTTTTCCTAACAATAGGGTGACATTTAATATGTAACCATCCAGACCACAGAAAACAAGAGTAAAGCAGCCGGGTGGTTGCGCTAGGGTACAAGACTCCAGTAAGGACTCATCCTGCCACTTTCCCTCCCTCTCAAAAATCTGCATCTAAAGCAAGCTGAGTTCCTGAAATAGGAATCTGTCAACTACAGGAAGGGGGTAGGGGAAATAAGCATATGTAAAATGTCACTGTATTTGAAGCTCACATCAGAATAGCAAGACAGTGGATACTTTCAGCAGTAGCATGGCTGCAAGAAAGGATCTAAATTGAAGCCGTGTGAAGTGGAGAAAATAACTGGACGAAATCACAGTGCAGAAAAAGAAACCAATAATAAAATAGGGAACCCAATTCTGGTAAGAGCGTGTACAACTCTACCAAGGTAAGATTCAGAGAAATGTTTTTGAAATATTTCGAAATGCAAACGAAAAGGCCTGAATGTACAGGAAACTAGTTTTGAATGGCATCAGCTTACTGTAGGGAAAAGAGCGTGAGTGTGGGGACAGGTGAGTGAGAAGTGACCCGAGTTATAAGAAAACCAGCCAAAGCTTATTGTACACAACATGGCATCCAGTCCTAAGCCTGCAGCAACTTAGGGGGCAGTTATCCATTTTTCCAGCAAACCCAAATGCCAGATTTAAAAGGATCTAACGTCTCGGAGAGCAGCTCTCCGAAAACCCAGGGGAGACAGACATTTGGGAGTCAAAGGATTGGGGGAGGGGCGAGGCAGTGGAAATGAGTCAAAAGCAGCCTTCCAGAGGATAAAACCATGTGACGTGCAGGCAAAGAATGTTCGAGGAGCTTAGGAGAGGGGAGGAAAAGCCCTCCACCCCGACAATCCAGAGGCGCAGACCACGGGGCGCGAGGGGCCCGGTCCGGCGGGGCCCGACCCCCGAAGCCGCCGCGCTTGGAAGACCCGAGGCCTCCAGCCAGGAGCCAGCCCACGCACCAACCTGAGACCACCGTGCGGGGGCAGTGTCCCCGCGCGGCGCGCGGGAAAAACGGCGGTCGGGGCGGAAAGGGGGCAGGGCGAGCGGGGCGCCCCGCCGGGCACTTACGCGGCCGCTTCTTCCTGCGGCTTTCGACGCGATGGCGGGAGGCCGAAGTAGCGCCGCTGTAGGAGCCTGGCCGGTCCCGCCTAACGCCCTCCCCCGAAGCCGAGGCCCCGGCGGCGGGCGCCGACGC